CTGAGAGAGATCACATTTATTTGTCTGCGTCTTTTGCCTAGGACACATATCGTGCTTAATCAAACGTATTTATGTTAAAAGGAACTACGCGCACAGGGCTTGGGTGAAGCATGGTTCCTTTTAGCATAAACACGTCCAATTAAGCTACCAAATTGATCACCTCGACTTGTACCCTTGCAAATTTTCTATGACATGTGACACACTGATCAGAGTTCATTTTAAAAAAAGAAAATTGTCCATGATTTTGTTATGCCTTCGTAAGAATGCCCTGTCAACATACCCTCCAAAATTTTCCATGAAAAAATGCCTTTGAAAAATTGAATGAAAATGCAATTTCGCACAAGAAGGAGTGGACATTTTGAAATACTTACAGAAGCCAAGATTATTTTTTCGGTAGTTTCAATTTCGATATTAAGAATATCTCAAAACGAATAATTATTAGTTAACTGCTGAATGTTTTGTGCAAGGACTGTAAGGTGAATAATTTTTCCTGAATGATTTCTTTGAAAATAATAAAATTAAAAGAAACAATCTTTTCAAATTAAGTTTTCTTCAATAATAAGGGATTTTTTCTCCAAATCTCTCTTTGTCAAACTTTGGTTTTCCACATACTCAAGAGCCGCTTTTGCAGCGCTCTTTGACGCTCTGCGACACTTAACCGCCTTTTACCCCTATCCTCTCAAAGTCCTCTGGGAGCTGGCACTTCCTCTTTTCTCGTTCAACCCTGTTTTTCCTCCCTTTTGTCCCCTTTCGTCCCAGCAAAAACCCAATCAAGCATCTTCTTCGTTATTCTGCGCCTAAGGAAAAACGTCGTATGAGCCTTCGGGCGTTGCCAAATTTCATTTGATAAAGCATGAATTTCCTGGTAAACTTATGAACATTTTTCTGCCAATTTTTCAGATTATTTTGTTCGTAATATCACCTAAAGTTCCTGAAACTTTCGAAGCAAAATTTTCATAACTTTCCTACAAAATAAACATTTCATCTCGGGAAATTTGGCAACTCTCAAATGCTCATACGGCGTTCTTCCTTAGCACGGGAGCATACCAGACCAGCTGTTTGGTCATGACGCCGGATACGGTGTCATTTTCGACTTCCATGAGACGCACACTATCATGACGGACCCGATCTGCTATAAAAAGTCTTGCTCATCCCCTCTAGAAATCAACCTTCATTCTGTCGTGCTAAAGAAAAACGCCGTATGAACATTCGAAAGGTCTCAAATTTCCCAAGATAAAATGTTTATTTTTTAGGAAAGCTATGAATATTTTTCCTTGACATTTTCAGGAACTTCAGGTGAAATTTCGAGCGAAATCGTCTGCAAAATTGGATGAAATTTTCTTGCAAATTTTCCCGAGAGTTCGTGGTTTACCAAAGGAAATTAAGCAATGCCTGAAGGCTCATACGGCAATTTTCCTTTGCTAGGTAGCATTGCTCTTAGCATACCCTGCTGCCAAACCTCATTTGCCAAACTTCCATTTTGGTTTTGTTCCTTTTAAAAAGTTAACGAATAAGCAAAAAAAAGTTGAGCCAACGAAACAAACGCGTTCACGTAGGTGGTGCTGCATTTGTGCTTCCTGTCATGAATCATTTTTTTCCGGATTACAGAACCCCTGTATAAAGACCGCTCACGAACAGGAATCTCCACAATCAACTGATATTATCCCGGCTTGATGACCTCAAAATAGAGACAAATCAATGCGTTATCCATTGATAGCGAGCGTTAACCCACTATTCACTTCGATATTAATTCGCGATTAAAGGTTCTTAATATATCCATGCATTGCTGCTCGTTGTATCGTGGTTCGTGGGTTGTAAATAAATCCCTTTGAAACCTCTCGCACAAAAGTTCGATCCTAGAACAACCGTTGGGAAGTAGTCCCTCTGAACGCAAGTGTAAAACAGCAAAGGCTTCACAGGCTCAAAATGTTAGTTTTAGCGAAATAATGGGTAAGGGTCCCGAGTAAACATGGCGAAGTGGACAGTGGACGTGAAGGTTACAAACGCTTTTACGTGTTGAATAGACACTTCAATTAAAGTATACAATGGATCTACCGATTAGAATTTGCATATCGTTATCCTGGAAGTATACCTATGGCTCCTGGCTCCCAGTGCTAAAGGAGGGAAAACTCGTTGGGTATCATCGATCGCTTTTAAAAAGTGGGAATCACACAAAGACTTTTACCGCGATATTTTTTGCAACTTTTTCTCTATATCATCACAGCATCAAGTTCCCCACTGGTTGAATGACTTAAGACCAAATGAATGGAAACATACAAGTTAAATTACTTTGAACAGTCCTCAGTTTTTTTACCCCATTCACCACCGAATAAAACAAATTTTCACACTGATGAGTATGCGTTTCTCAATGCGAGTGTTCATGCGCTAAATCAGGTATTTTATTTATTTTCACATGTTGGCAAAGAAATTTTCAAAGAAATCTGTGAATTGGACGTATTTCTATCAAACGGAACTATGTGCATTATGACGTGAGCCCTGTTGTGCGTGTATTCTTATGGGTCTCAGGGCTCATGTCTTCATGTTCATAGTTCCGTTTGATAGAAATGCGTTCAAATATGTGTCACATATAAATGTAAATTATAACTCGAGGTTGATATACGCTTTTAAAGGTATTTATATATCTAAACAGTATTTTGTACGATCGAGTTAATGTACGAATAATAATAAAAAATCTCTTTTTTGAAAGGCCGATCCAAAGGTCTGGTGACATTATAAGAAACTCCCGTGTGAACGATTAGCAAGTCTAAGGTTCTCAGATTGTGGACGGATTTTGAGGTCATCTCTCACATCTTGAAGTTGTCTTGCCAAGGAAAAACGCCGTGAGAACATCAAGGCGATGCCAAATATTTCCTAAAAAATACGAATTTTTTGGATAGCATATTAACTTTTTACAATGAGTTTTTCAGATAATTTCACTCACTATAAATCAAGTAGATTCTGAAAATTCCCAGGAAAAATGTCTATATGTAGATTTACTATGAAAAATATTTATTTTGCCGGAAGAAATTTGGCAACCTTGAAATCTTCATATGGCGTTCCTCCTCAGCATGGCCGTAAAGTACCACACGTCGCGTATGGAAGATAAATCTTGACCCGTTTTTCACGAGATGAAATCGATCGAGTTCAAATTAAAACCACGCTGAGGGAAACAGATGTTGCGGAGATGCCGCCATTCTCCAGGAGGGAGCGGCCGCTCACACTTAGACACTCCATGGAAAATCAACCAATTTTTCCCCCGAACTGGCAACCACGGACGGGGGCAACTTGTCTGGAGTGAGCACGGTGGTTGTGCGGGGGTGAGAGGATATTATCCGTCTTGATTAATCCCCCTCTATGCTGTGTTGAACAAGAACCGCGCAAGTAAATGGGAGTAACCGAGTGTATACGCGGTTTCTGATCGGTGCGACAGCTCTCGAGTTGGATTCCTGCCGTTACATTACATAGTTCACCCTGTTTATTGTCACCTTTGTCGTTATTTATTTTTATTCTTCATTTGTCTTCATTTTGCTTTGTTTGATTTATATATCTCGGAGATTAGCTTGTTCCGCGGCGACCGAGTGACCCAAGTTCATTTGGACCGCGTTTAGCAGAAAGGAACCAAGCCGTATGAACTATTGACAAATTTAACTGGGATATTTAATTTTTTTAAAAGAACGTTTGTGCGGATTCCTTTGAAAATTACAATGAATTTGCTTCGTAATATGCAAAAAAATCACTGAAATTTGCATAAAAATCTGCACAACCATTTTCATGTAAAAAGTTAAATTTCCCAATTAAAGTTGGCAATAGCTGATGTGGCTTGGTTTCTTTTTGCTTAACGCGATCCATTTTTAAGTTGCTCTGGTCGTTCTAATGATTTTCTTCCCCGACGAGGTGTAACAATATATTCATCCATCTGTAACTAATCCACTAATATTCTCTGAGTCCATCCGCTTATTTCTCTGAATGCAGATGTGAAGAAGCCAGCCACAATGGCCTCGAAGGCAAGAAAAAAAAAATAAAATAAAATACAATAAAAATAAAAACAAAAATGAGATAAATATATTCCTTTGCTGAGCTATAATTCCGTTTAATTTAAGGCGAAAAAACACCTAGAAATTGACCCTTTGCACTCAAGTTTAAGTCAACGAAGAATGAACGGGAAACTGGAATAAATGTGGTTAAAGTTAACCAGCGTCGTCGTGTCTTCAAAAATAATTCACGATTAGCAATTAGCATCCTTAATGATCCAAAGTATGGAATGAAATTTTGACTCGATGCTTTGAAGACACTAAAAAGCGTTTGGCGCCATTAACTGAAAATCAATGTTTTTGTATCCAAAATTGGTCACTCCGCTTTTAGCCAAAGGATCTTATCGGTTGACCCCCATTGAATCCCATTTGAATATTTGAATAATTATTATCTTGGTCAATGTTGAAAACTTTAATGCGTGGTAAAATGTGACTATTCGTCCTCAATCTTTTTTTTATCGCATACAATTTTTTCCAGTACCTAGGTATTCTATGTTTTCATTATAATACTACTACTAATGTAAAAGTCAACGAGTAGGTATCATTTGCCTGATTTTTTGGCCGATTTGTGTCAATTGATTAAATGATTTTTTTTTATTTTTTTTTTTACTACTTCAAGTAGCCCACAAAGGCTGAATCTGCGCTTTGGTCCCGTCCCCCTCCGTCCCTACTGAATAACCGGTCCCAGGCAACCATTGTTTGAGACCATCAAACTCGGGTCGCCTGGCCGAAATAATGAAATGTGGTAGGGCAATTTAACCCGGAGAACAATTATTCTTTTCAAGCTCGATTTAAAAATCTTAACCAAGTTTCCGATACCTACACAGCGTAATTTTCAAATCAACTGTTATGAAGTGATTAACATGCGTTTCTCCTTTCGCATACTTTAGTTATTTTTGAATTTGTATGATTTTTCAACTATCTACAGAACTATTGATTGATCAAAAGTATTATGTTTCAGTGCAGACGAAAACCAAATGAAATTGAAAGAAGTCATGCCAGTGGGTGACTGGCTGGGAAAAATGTTGCAGAAAATAGGAACGTTCTTCCGTTCGTATTCGTTGGATGTCAGCTTGGGAGACTTGGACCTCGATCTAGAAGGTAGGATCAACGTTTCTTGTTGACTTTCCTTTATATAATTCTTATTATAGTTGCCATTATAGTTGCAGATCCTTATCTTGAAAATTGTGACGTTACGGAATGTCAGGTTTATGTTGCAATTTCCCCTCTTATTTTTTTACATTTACGAAAGATAGAAGCGTTGAAGCTGTTTTTTACGCATTTCCTCTGCTTCGGTTCGACTTTACCACGAAGGAACCAAGTTTTACGGCAAACAGAGGATGCTCTCATTAGTTGCTCAGGAGCGGTAATCCAGGATGGCGCGAAAAGCCTAAGAAAATAAATGAGGATTGCGCGAATATAAAACCTTGACATATGCTACAAGAATGCGTGAATTTAAAATTATGTTAATTTAAGGACGAAGTTTGGCAAAACAGGAAACAGTTGAAAAAAAAACGCATTTTTATGTTAACGCTAGTTTAGGTTAGTTTTTTAACAAGTCATCGATGTCTTACCGTCCGATGATAAATGAAGTGAACAGATTGAATAATGGTCGTGGGTATGATGAACATTCCTAACTTTTCTCGGAAAAAAGATTCAATCGGAAGGAACGAGGCAACGCTGGAATGCTCATACGGTGCCGAAACACAACATAGGCCTTTTAAATTCTATTATTCGATGCCACGATTATTCTAACGCGATTTCGAATAATCGCGCCAAACATACCTAGTGTTGCCGGCGGCCTAAACGTACATTAACGCCTGCGAGACTCTAGGAATACTTCACGCATTGCGCCAAACAGTGCGGTCGCGGCGTCGAGCCCATATTAGCGCCTACAAGACTGCATGAATACTTCTCGCATTGCGCTGAACGCAGTGCAGTTGATCAGTTGGCGTGGAACGCTTATTAGCGCCTGCATGATTGTGGGACTGCGTGTCATCATTCTTGACTTTCTGTTCCAGTTTTTACCATAATTAAAGGGAAGACATGTATCCTCATCACAAAGATTCAGAAACTCGGATGATATTTAATTTTTTTTGGTTTTTTTTGGAATTCTGTAAAAACATTATCCCAAGGTACACAAGTTTTTCTGCTACAATACATTGTTCCCAAAACTGTAAAATGACGTCTACGGCGTTTTTGCGTTGCACGGCAGTATTGTATTATGAATATACCCCTTCACTCCTTGAGTTTCCTTTTGGATTAGAATGTCTGTTTTCGTTTCAGGACGTGGACACCACCACTATCGCCGCGTGTTCCCGATTGTAGTGACGACATACATGATCATGTCAACGTTTCTGATCCCGATGGGTTTCCAGTTCATGGCCATGCTCGGCGGCAAGGCCCTCGTCCTCAGTAAACTGGCTTTCCTCTGGAGCTTGCTCGGGGTGTCGCGCCGTATTTTCCCGTACTCCTACCCGGACGGCTATGCACCGCCCCACCACGACTTCCATCAACCGGGGCTATATCGCGCTGCCCATCGAAAGGATCATATCCCACAGTGAGTTCTGCCGTGCTAAAGAAGAACACCGTATGAACAATCGAGAGTTGCCAAATTTCCCTCAATAAAGAAGAAACTTATGAATATTTTTCCTTGAAATTTTCAGGAACTTTAGGTGAAAATTGGAGTGAAAATATTCATAAGTTTTCCAGAAAATTAGCGGTTTTTCAGAGGGAATTTGGCAACGCCTGAAGGCTCATACGGCGTTTTTCCTCAGCAAGGCAGCATTCAATGGTTATGCTCCGTCCTTCGAAGATTAAAGAGATTTCTTGCAATCTGAAACGGGTCAGATATAAACTCATTGAGATATTCAAGAGATTCAACAAAAATTGTATCGGAATCGCTCGCCGAGTCCACCCGCTGTAGATGGAAGCTGTTCATGACAAAAAATTGCAGCGATGGCCAATGAGAGGGCCTGAAAAGGCGTCATCCAGTTTCAGCTCTCATTTGCAGCGTTCCAACTCAGCATGAGACTGAATGTATTCGACTTTCAAAGGTTTTTTTTTTTTTTTTTTTTTTTTTTGAAGGGAGGCAAAATAGAGAAGTTTGTTGAACGATTTAAGGGGCGGAAACATATAATCGTTGCTCTGGAAAATTTGGAATTTTATTATGTTTCTAACGAGACCTTGACTAGCATTTGCATGTGGACAAGGAGAGAAGAGTTGTATTCGGTTTAGTGACAAGTGGGGGGTTTTGATAAAATTTCGTCAAAAAAAAAACAAAAAAAAACAAAAAAACCTGCTTGTAAAATTTTTTAGATGAATATTATAATATAATTAGGAGAGCCCCATTTCAATTTTCTTTGATATGCTTCAGCCTTACATTCTTGTCGAAACATCAAATCACTTTCTCACAAAATTTAAATAAAGGAAAGTTTAACTAAAACACTTCTAGAACCAAAAGAAAATGTTTTGCTTGTTTTTAATTTGCTTGAGACAAGAACATAATTCCTTTTGTAAAAAAAAAATTTTTTAATATTCTAATGCGACCAAATCAACTGTGAAATAATATTAAATTAAAATAAATCTCGTCTTCGAATTTCAATAATTTTTAGCTGGCAACAATCCTCGAGACTGCTGGGCATCTGAAGGTTTCATCGTATTGTTTTTTGCCCGCGTATCCGAGCTACCATCTGGAAAGTATTGGTTTCGAGCCAAGAAAACTGATAAATCGGGATTGTCCTCAAATTTAAATGGAGTTTGAAGGTTAGTATTTTTACTCTCTGCTCGAGAGTTTTCCTTTCTTACGATACACCACTCTCTCACCCTTGGTTAAGTAAATATTTTCTGGGAGGATGAATGACAACCGATGCTTCAACCATAGCTGTACTTAACAATACCAGCGTCGTCTGCTCGTATGAGAGGCACGTCGCGCCGGACGGGGCAGTATTGCCGCTTTCTCTCCGGTAAGACAAAGAAGATTCTTATGTATATTGCATTTGGTGTCAATATGTCTTATAGACAAAGGAGATGGTCCTGATCACAAAGGTGCCGTTTTTAAATGACGTCAAAAGTTTAAAGAGGAGGAGGAGTCAGAGGCGCACATATTGTCAGGACATGTACCTGACAAGAGGAAGAGAAGCGTCGTCGAGCCAAAGCTGAAGTCAGGTTTCCAGTAACTATAGTTAAAAGCACAATATTAGTGATATTATATATTAGCTCTGAATCAGCAGTGGCCATGACGAATTGGTGTGATACCTCATCCTTACGTGATCATTTTCCCTCCGTAATGGTAAAAATGCCAGCTTATTGGCAAGAATACCATTATTAATAGTTATAGTTGTTAATATCCTGAAAAAAGTATGAAAAATTTCACCAGAAGTATGGTAAAATCTATAGGTATACTTGATTTTTGACACAGTGATACTGCAGGGTAGGGATAACTAGACATCTATAGCATTTACCATACTTTTGGTGAATGCGGTTAGAATTACAGTATTTGCTACCATATTAACCGGATAAAGGAATTTGAGAATGAGCCGATCAAAGATTACGGAAAACGTTCAATTTATGTAATTTTTATTCCCGTTTGTGACTCCATGATGGGGTGCTGTCTTAATTCTCAGTATAAAAGGAATTTAGCTATTCTGAGCCCAGTTTGACATCGGTGGGGAGTTGAATTGAAATCTCTGTTGATTCGACGGTTTAACAAATTCACAGCTCGCTTTTTGAGGACGAGCGAAACGGGAACGGCAAGTACGGAGCACGTCACTAGGGGCCAGGACCGGGACGATGAGGGGGGCGGGGGGGCTGTGAAGAGCGGAGGGGGCGCAGTAAACTCTCTACTTATGCCCCGGTCGTGGGACTTGAGGGAGCAAACAGATTCAAGGTCACTCGGAGAGGGGTGGTGGCGACTCGGGGCGCGGGACGAGTCTAAGAACTTCTCTGTGAACCTCTCAATGACGGGTCATTTTACTCTGAAGAGCATCTCCCGTCCGACACACTCGCGTCCGGTATCCGTCCATTGATGGATCACAAATGGACGTATTTCTATCAAACGGAACTATGTGCATTAAGACATGACCCCTAAAACCCACAAGAATACATACATATCAGGGCTCACGTCATAATGCACATAGTTCCGTTTGATAGAATTACGTCCAAATAAAAAATTCTCGAGAAAATATGATACGATCATTGAATGGGTCAGTTGCGCTGGTCACAGAATCGTGTTTTGATGCTTGATTTTTGTAGATCAGCTAAAATAATAAGATCCGTCCAAACAGCAAGTTTCTACGTTCAATATTAACCGAGATATCACGCTTTGAAAAGCTCGGTTTATGACGTCATCCACCGCGGTAGTGACACCCTTGCTTCCCTCCACCTTGCTTCCATCCGAGTTTTACGTTGAGTGACCAGTACAAATTGGCGTCACATCAACTGATGAAAGGAAGGTGAGAGAAATCGAGGGTGCAACCAAGGGGACTCCTGATACTTTATCCTTGTAGATCCGCTAAAAATAATAAGATCTGGCCAAACAGCAACTTTCTACGTTCAATGTTAACCGAGATTTCGCCCTTTGAAAAGTCGGGTTTTTGACGTCCCGCGGCAGTGACACCCTTGGTTTCTTCCATCTTGCTTTCATCAGTTGGTGTGACGCACAATTGCACTTGTTACTCAACGTGAAACTCTGGTAACAAGACTCAGATTTTCTAGACAAGACTGCCTAGCGTAATGCCGTAAGATGCCTATGTGGATCGAATATATGAAAATATTATTGTAATGGTAACCAAGTGTTTTTTCGATGCTATATCGTGACTCTACACGGAAAAAATGAAACTGTTGATTTAACAATTTTGTAGTTAAAAAGTGTCTTGACATGTTTGAATGTAGATTTTACAATAAAAAAAAATGCTAATTTGACAACAGGGTGGTTTCCAGTATTGTAAAATGTACATCGACGGTGAAAGTCGGCAATCACATAACTCGGTTTGTGACGTCGCAGACTTCCTGTTATACTTTATTTTTTAAATTGAATACTCAACGGCAATTCATTAAAACTGTCATGATTTTTCTTCTCAATGCGAAGAAAATTCTGCAAAAACTTCAAGAAATAACATCAATTTGTTCTCCTTTAAAAAAAATGACGTAGAGGCGGAGATTTTCAGACACCGCAAACGAGTCATGTGATTGCCGACTTTCAACGTCGACATTTGAAACATAAGGGACATGTTTTTTTTAACAATTTAATTGTTAAATCAGCGATCCACTTTTTCCGTCGAAACGGCCGCATCATCTCCCAGTGTGCGGTAGCTGTTGAATCAAAGAAAATCCAAACATTCGGTGGTTCGGATAAAACTTACGGAACCCCGCGTGGCCCCCTTCGATTGCGGTGCGCTGGAGGGATGAGAAGGGGGAGGGGGAGGGGGTGCGAAAATGCGGAGGGTGATGGGACGGGAAATTTGCTTAGCGGCCGAAAGCATCCTTTTGGACGGAAACACTTGGTGCGGATTTGGCGAACCCCGCGAACCCCTCGCCCCCTGTCATGTCCACTCCGGGCTCTTAAAAAAGGATTCTCTACGAGATCCATGGTTGCCGCACATTCTCAATTGTGATAGCCAGGTCTCATTAAATGAAAGTGGACACGCCGGACAACACTGGAAAAAAAAAAAACACACACACACTGGATCTAGAGTCCAGACCATTGAAAACATTGACAAGAAAAAGGACTCTTGATTCAATCAGATTCAAGCCTAAATCAAAAGGAAATTCGCTCAAATTAAGAGGCCTGGTTCTTGATTTAAGCTTAAATCTGATTGAATCAAGAGTCCTTTTTCTTGTCAATGTTTTCAAGAGTCTGGACTCTAGATCCAATGTGTTTTTTTTCCGGTGAACGTGACGCTGATTTCACGATGATGGTAATAGTAGAGCCACCAGTTCAGCTTGTAGTGTTTTCAACCACGTGGGAAAAATTAATTGAGGAAGAATACGGAAACAATGGATTGCTGATTTCCCCTTTAAATTGTCAAACAATATATCCGCTATGTTTACAAATGTGCAATTTACAATAGTAGGATGGTAATTTAACCGCGGGGGTGGTTAAATTACCATTTTTTCACTGTAAAATCTTCATTGAAACACGTCGGACACTTTTTTTAACTACAAAATTGTTAAATCAGCAATGTGATTTGTTCGCCGTGAATATAATAACAGTTTAAAATCATTTAACTCTAGACCCTTTCTAGGTTCATGGGTCTCTTTGATGACAGATAATAACTTTTATTTTTGGGAGTTCAAATTTCCTTGCGGATAGCTACACAGGCGTAGTACCCATCTTAACCTCTTGTATGCAGTTGAATTTATCGATAAAAATGTGCCGATCTCCGCCGAATGTGGCTTATTCTCTATAAATAAATTTCTAAACCGCCCAGAAGTTAAATGCATTATCAACAGATAGATGTTGGCGCGTTGACTTGTCAATAAACCATTGTAAAGATAATAATGGAAGTTCCTCATTCGACTCTGGCTGAGCGCAATCTACTGGCTCCTGGCCGATCGATGCGCCT